TTGTGCTCTTATTTATCTACCATTTATATCCATTACTGTACACATCTTTCAATTAATATTTGCTAGTTGACCTATCTATATAAGGCATAAAATTGAATTGTTTGTTTGCCCTTCTTTATTTAATGATAAAAAGTGGCGGGTAGATTTTTTTTTAAGATACTTATTAGATGGGATAAAACCCACAGAGGCCTTATTCTTTATATTAATGCAGAAAATCTCCTTTCCTCAATAATTGTTTTACACTTGATACAAATCCAATAGGCTTACCAAATGGAATGAATTCTGAACTGACAATTTTATCTTCCGTGGGAGTCACACCCACATTTATTTTGTCAGTATATATTTTTAAATTTTCCATTCTTATAACAGATACATAATTTAAATAGGTATACGGCCTATTACATATAATAATATATATAATAATAATAATATAGCATAATAATAATAAATAAAAATAATTATTCTTTATATTATTATGTGTAATAAATAGTGCAATTTTGTATATTAAATATTACTATTAACAAAACATATTTTTCATTTTTATTATATACAATTGTTAAGTTAATTAGACTTCACGTGGAGTGCCTTGAATACTTTAGAATAAGTCTCTCGTTATTGAGCTTACACTCCCAATGATACGGTGTATCAAAACCAACAAAATTACATTAAGAAGCACAAACACAATATTTGAAAGAACCTTTCTTTCATTTTTTATCTATTTATTTACCTTATTGTTTATACTGGGGGACTGCTCAGGGATAAAATCTCTGGTCATCCGGAGATCCCAGCAAAGAAGATAACAAACAGTGAAACATTTCATAAAAAAAAAACAAAAAAAAAACATTGAAACACAAAAAGCGGTACTACTGCCATTTATTTATTTATTTTCATAGAAAACATCTCAAAATACCATCTTTAAAAACATTATTCATAAGAAGTTAACTAGATTTGTCTCTGGGCTAAAACATAACATAACTACAGGATCAATACAAATTAAAAAAAATTAAAATTAAAATAATAAGAGTCAAAAACACATAAGTATAAAAAATACAAAGCAGATACAGTAATAAATACAGTTATTGTAGAATAATAGGCCTATACATACAATAGGTATACACGCAGGATGAAATGTAACGTACTGTACGTAGTGAATGCTGTAGAGGTCAAGGTTGAACGCGTTTCTGGAGACGTGAATGCGTTACAGAACCTCAATGTCACCACATTACCTCCCGAAGCACGGCGGAAAAACCTGTAAAAAAAATCATTTTTACCATATTTTGGATAATTACCGTACTAAAAGTTGGTTTCTATTGATTATTAAGTAGTTTTCTACTCTCGTGTGGTAATATTTTTATCATTTTTGCACCCGAGTGGTCCCGTGTGGTATTTAGTAGGACCGACCCCTAGAGCCAGTACAGGCCTAGGCCCTTTAGGGGGCCTAGGCTAGGCCATACCTAATAGTACTACTGCAAATATTTTTTAATTGCGCAGAGCCAGGATAGGCATAGGCTGAGCAGTTTACATCTCCCTGGGCTGAGTATCTCAAAAATCAGCTCAAATTTGCGAGGAAAATTGCTAGAAAATAGGTGCGCGGAATCGTAAATTGCTGCATAGCCTAGGCCTAATTAAAAACAATTGCATCATTTGGGATATGACTTCTTCGGCCACCGACACCTTCGGCCGCGCGAGATTTAAATGGAGCGCCAGTTGGGCATTTCTCCACACCGCATGCTGTGGCGGCGTATGCCTAACTTTAAGCCTTTGCTAAACTAAATAATTGCTGTCATGTCGCACAGTAATATTTACGTATTTA